TTCTTGAGTCAATGCATTCGTTTGCTATTAGTACAGAATCCAAAATCTGACGACTTTTCACGAAAGCATTCTGAAACTTAGACACCACTTTCCCTAGCACCTCCTTGAGTCTATTTGCCAAAAGTTTTGAAATAATCTTGTACACCCCACTGACCAAGCTAATAGGGCGAAAGTCCTTGATATCAGTCGCTCCTGATTTCTTAGGAATCAGCACAATAAATGTTGCATTAGAACTTCTCAGAAACCTGCCACGCTCAAAAAAGTAAGTGAAAACATCAATAATGTCCTGTTGCACCACCTCCCAACACGCCTCATAAAATGAGAACGAGAACCCGTCTGGTTCAGGAGCTTTCTCATCATTCATACTAAACACGACCTCCTTAATTTCATCCTCCCTAAATGGTCTCTCCAACCAACCGGCATCCTCCTCTGTAATATTAGAAAATTCCAACCCCTCCAACTCTGGCCTCCACTCAAACTGCTCCTGATATAGGTTCTGATAAAAGTTCAATATATAGGTCCTAATATCCTGTGGGTCCTCAAAAGTAACCCCATCTACCTCCAACATCGTTACAGAATTGTTTCACATATTAGAATTAGCGACCCTATGGAAGAATTTAGTGCATTTGTCTCCCTCTTTCAACATAAGTAACCCCATCGACTTCCAACGCTGTGATTGAATTGTTTCGCCTATTAGAATTGGCCACCCTGTGAAAGAACTTGGTATATTTGTCCCCCTCTTTCAACCACAAGACCCCAGATTTCTGGCGCCAAGCAATCTCCTCCATCTCCACCAACCTCACAAGCTCTTCCCTTAATACTCCACGTTTCTCCTTCTCCTCCCCATCCAACCCTCGCTTCTCCTCTAGCGTATCCAGCTCTTCAATGTCTGAAAGGCACTGAATTTTACGAAAGTTCACATTGCCAACCTCCTCCTCATTCCACCTCTTTAAATCCCTTTTTAACTTCCTCAACTTATGATCCAACACGTAACTGGGGGACCCCCGAAAATTATAAGAAGCCCACCAATTCCGTATTCGCTCCCCAGAACCTTCTACTTTTAACCACATTTTCTCAAATCTAAAAGGCCTTGAGCCAATATCCCTAGTACTCCCAGATAACAAAATAGGAAAATGATCAGAGTACACCCTCCCCAATCTCCTCTGAGTAACATCTGAGTACTTAGCCTCCCATTCTCCGCTAACCAAGAAACGATCTATACGAGATAAAACAGGTTGGTCCCGATTAGATGACCAAGTGAAGTCTCCCCCAATCATAGGCATATCCACCAACATATTCTCCCTTTGAAAAATCCTCCATAGCCCCGGTTAGTCTCCCACCACTCGACTTTTCAGTAGGAAATCGAACCACGTTAAAATCACCCCCAATGCACGTTGGGAGATTCCACCAAGCCATCATACCAGTCAACTCATCCCACAAGCCCCCTCTACTCTCAACTGAAT